GGTCCTCAGCACCAGTAGTAGCTCCAACGCCCGGGTCCTCAGCAGCAGCAGCAGCGCCACCGCTCGGGTCCTCAGCTCCAGCAGCAGCTCCACCGTCCGAGTCCTCAGCACCAGCAGCAGCGCCACCGCCCGGGTCCTCAGCTCCAGCAGCAGCTCCAACGTCCGGGTCCTCAGCACCAGCAGCAGCTCCACCAGGCGGGTCCGCAGCACCAGCAGCAGCTCCAACGTCCGGGTCCTCAGCACCAGCAGCAGCGCCACCCCCAGGGTCCGCAGCACCAGGAGCACCACTCCGAAGACTGCAGCGCCGTGTGTACCACTCGCGGATCTGCTGAATGGGGGGGAGCTCCTGGGTAGGAGGGGAAGTACCGGGACGAGCTCCAGCAGCACCTCTCCGGAGGTGGCAGTACTGTAGGTACCTCTCCTGCAGCTGCTGGGAGGAGAGGGCTCCTCCAGGTGTAGCACGCTCAGGCTCAGCACCCCCAGACTCAGTACCCCCAGGCTCAGCACCCCCAGGCTCCTCACCTCCTGGCTCAGCACCCCCAGGCTCCGCACCCCCAGACTCAGCACTCCCAGGCTCAGCACCCCCAGACGCAGCACCCCCGGGCTCAGCACCCCCAGACGCAGCACCCCCAGGCTCAGCACCCCTAGCAGGACGAGAGTCAACAGCTACCTCGACAGGCTCACCCGGGTCTACCTGGGACACACCTGAGGGAGCGGCACCCTGAGGGGGGAGGGGGTCTGGTACCTCAGCACCTGGAGCGAGGAAGAGAGGCGGGGGGGGGAGCGGGGCAGTGCGGTAGGGGAAGAGGCGGTAGTAGGGGACGGACTCGTCAAAAGTGACGTCCTGAGAGGCCAGGACACGACGCGAGGTGGGGTGGTAGAACTGCCAGCCAGGGGCGTCCGGGACAAAGCCAAGGAAGACGCAGGGGACAGCGCGACGGGAGAGCTTGTCCGCGGACGTGTCGCGGACAAAAGCTCGGGATCCCCAGACCCGAAAACGCGACGCATCGCCAGCCTCTCCCGTCCAACGCAGTGTCGGAGAAGTCTCGGGCAAGGAGACACGGGGCCAGAGGTTGAGCTGATGCGCAGCGTATCGGACTGCAAACGGCCACAGAAAATGGGGGGCAGCCGCATGGCTCAAGGAGGTACGAGCGACCTCCATGACCAGACCAATGCGGCGCTCAGCAACCCCATTCTGCTGTGGAGAGGCCGGAAGCGTGTACGACTGCTCAATGCCCTCCTGCTGACAGAAGGCCTCCAAGAGGCCAGAGGTAAACTCCCCACCTCTGTCAGAGTGCAGACGCAGGACAGGGAAGTCAGAGCGGAAACGCTCACTGAGCTGGAGACGAGATCTGCGGATCCAGGGGATCAATACATCAGGGACGTCACCCTTGGCGCGCAAGGGGAAGACCGTGGTGAAGCGCGAGAAGTCGTCAACAACAATCAGGAAGTACCTCTCCTGACCCTGGCCACGGACGCGGGCTGGGCCCCACACGTCCAAGTGGAGCGTCTGCAAAGGAGCAGTCGTCGGGGGAAAGGAGGAGGAGTGAGGAGCGGCGCGCTGCCGCCCCTCGACACAGGGAATACAGGGAGGAGCAGGCGAGTCTGGAAGGGGAGGGAGTACCCTGGGAAGACCAGCAACAAGGTCCCGTTTGTGCATGGCCCGAAGGCGCTGCACAGACGGGTGACCAAGGCGGTGGTGCCAAAGGACAGTCTCATGCGCCAGAGAGCGACACGAGCAGGGGGCGGACAGCTGACCTGACGCAGACGCAGACGCAGCTACCTGAGGGGACTAAGTGGTCAGTGTGTAAAGGTCCGACCCCGGCTCCCGAGTGAAGGTAGCCAGGTGGCGACCCGTCCGAGCACACGTGCAGTGTGTCACGCGCTCGTAGGCAGGGGTGAACTGGTGAACACCCCCGTCCTGGAGCGCACTACCTGCCACCAAGTTCGTAGAGAACGAGGGGAGGTAGAGACCTGACAGCGTGCCGGACGGGACCGCCGGACAAGGAAGGACAGTGGAGGAGGTCGCAATGACCGGACCCCCAGAGGGGTCAGCAAGGGAGACAGCAACTGGCCGAGCGAGTGGCTCAAGGACAGTGCGGTCACGAAAGAAGGAGCGAGAAGCACCTGAGTCCAGTGTGAAGGTGTGCAGTGCTGCAGTCGACTCAGTACCAGGGGGCACGGACGCACTAGCACCTAGGGCTGCAGCCTCACCAGGACCTGTGGGAGCAGACGCACTAGCACCTAGAGCGGCAGCCGGACTGGCCTGAATGCCCGGGTCGGGCGGAACACGCAAGTACTGAGCACCCTCTCCACTAATAGACATCGCATACATGGCAGTGAGAATAGCATCAAAGTCTAAAGCCCAAATATCAACACCCCTCTTTTCCAGATCAGCCCAGCGCGGCAGCTCAGTGGCAGCAGGAAACTGAGTGCGCCACGCGTCATTAAGGCGCGCGAAGCAGCGCTGCGTGGGGTGCGGCCTCCCACACTGCTGGCCGCTGCGGTCACCTGTGCGAATGACGTACGTGCAGGTAACGCTACGCTGCGCATACCACTCACGGGCGGCCTGAAGCGTCGGGGCGGGCTGCTGACTCTGCCCTCCGCCAGCGCCTCCACGACCACCACCCCCACCGCCGCCGCCCCGGCCACCTCCACCCCTGCCGCCGCCACGACCACCTCCGCCTCCGCTGCCGCCTCCACCACCACTCCCACCGCTGCTGTCTCCTCCCCCACTGCCGCCACTAGTCTCCCCAGCCGCGCCTCCACTCCCACCGCCTCCACCCCCACCTCCTCCGCCGCCACCCCCACCCCTGCCCCCCTTGTTCCTGCGGCGCCCGCTCGAAGCAGACGCGGTCCCGACCTTCTCAGCACCAAGAAGGTCGACAGCAGCAGCAGAGGCGACAGAGGGGAGGAGGGGGGAAGGGGAACACCCCTCAAAGAACGGGGTGCGGGGGTCGCCACGAGAGGTGCCTACAGCGACGATGCTCGCCTCAGCTGCAAGCAGTTCCTTCTCGAGGAGGGCAACAGTGAGCTCAGTGGGGGAGCGAGAGAGGAAGTGGTCCCTGACTGCGCGCAGAGAGTCAGGGAGGCGGGTGACGATGTGGTAGAGAGTGATCCAGAGCGGGGGGGGGTTGCTAGTGAGAAACTCGGCAGGCATAGCAGCGCGAAAGCGGGCCTCACTAGTCTTAAGGTGGGTGATGAGGTCTGCGACAGTGTGAAAGGAGGCTAGGTCGGGGAACAGGTAGGGGAGAGTGAGGCGGCCTAGCGTGGCAGAAGCGGGTGAGGAGTAGCGGGCAACTACAGCGGTGTAGAGGTCCTTAGCAGTCTTGCACTGGCCGAAGTGCTCGCGCTCGTCTAGCGGCAGGGAGTTGCGAATAGCAAAGCGAGCGTGCGCATCACGGGTCTGCCACTGGGAACGCAGAGTGCTGTCAGCAGACGAGTCAGGGGCAGTGGCATGGCCTAGGGCGTGGTCGTACAGTGAGATATCTTCCTTGGCAGTGAGCTGTAGGAACAGGTGCAGGTCATCGAGCCAGGTTTCGAACTTCACTGGACGGCCCTCGGCATCGAAAGCTAGAACTGGCGGACTAGCCATAGTGACAGTAGCAGTAGTAGTAGTGGCAGTAGTAACAGTAGTAGTAGGAAGCGTGGCAGCAGGAGCTGCAACGGCGCACTGGTGGCAGCTGCAGTGGTAGCAGTGTGCGCGGTAGGTAGAAAATAAACAGCAGTGAGATCGAGTGCCTCGCGGGCGGCGGCTGCAGAAGCACACGGGCGGCAGCGGCGCACGGGGAACAGCAGCGTAGGAGCAGCGACGGCGCACGGGCAGCGGCGGCGCACAGGCAGCGGCGGCGCTCGGGAGGCAGCGGTGCGCAAGCAGCAGCGGAAGCAGCGGCGTACGAGCGGCTGCGGGCAGCGGGGCGTGCGCGAGCAGGCGACGGGCGGCTGCGGGGCGTGCGCGAGCAGGCGACGGGCGGCTGCGGGCGGGCGGCCGCTGCGACAGCGGGCTGCGGGCCTGCGGGACGTGCGCGAGCAGGCGACGGGCGGCTGCGGGGCGTGCGCGAGCAGGCTACGAGCGGCTGCGGGGCGTGCGCTAGCAGGCGACGGGCGGCTGCGGGGCGTGCGCGAGCAGGCGACGGGCGGCTGCGGGGCGTGCGCGAGCAGGCGACGGGCAGCTGCGGGGCGTGCGCGAGTAGGCGACGGGCCGCGCGCGAGCGGCTAAGGGGCGGCGCGACGGGGCCTTAAGGGGCGGGTCGCGGGTCGCGGGAGGTAGGGGCCGTAAAAAAAAATTCGAGGCGCCCTAGGTAGGTAGGTAGGTAGGGAACGGTGGGCCCTTAAAAAAAAAAACGGTCCTAGCGAAGGACCTGCTCTGAAACCATGTCAGAATGAACGGACAGGAATGATGAACTAACAAGGATTGTGAGTACAAATATGAAACCCTAATGTTGTGACCCCCCTATAGGCTAACCCACTACAGCCTACACAAATACAACATGTATAATGTTTGACAATAACGAAATAAATAACTTACAAACATGTTATAAAGAGACATAGTTCGTTGCTTTCTCTATATACCATAAGTATAATATCAAACAGTTCATTTTATGACTTAGCATGAAAAGTATGTCCTACGCAACCCTTCCGACGTTAACGTCGAACCTTGTTTCATAATTCCTTACCACACCCGGCCTGGCCCATGTCGGCTTACGCTTGAAGACTAGCCCGAACCTCGCTGCCAGCTTCGCACTAGCTAGCTTGTACACATCTCGTTACCGTTTTGTTTGTTCTATATATATGTTCACTCATGCATTTACTCACGGCTTATAATCGATCGCCAACTTAGTGCATGCGAGGTGCACATCATTCCGTGTGATCAGCGTGTTACTTGTCAAAACTGATTTATATGTTTGAAGGCTGTAGTGGGGTAGCCCATATAGAGTACAACTCTTTTAGGCTTTGGTACTTGTACTCTCATTCCTTCCTAGTAAAGCCATTCATGCCTGTTAGCGTTGGACATGGTTTCGGAGCAGTAGGTCTGTAAGACCGTTTTTATTATTATTATTATTATTATTATTATTATTATTATTATTATTATTATTATTATTATTATTATTATTATTATTATTATTATTATTATTATTATTATTATTATTATTATTATTATTATTTTTCGGGCCCACCATTAGCTAGTGATCGACTGCGGTTACCGCGCTACCCCACGCCCTGCCCTACGTCTCGCTGCCAGCGCACGCTCTGCCCTGCCCGCATCGCGCTGTCCCGCGCACACCCTGCCCTGCCCGCATCGCGCTGCCCCGCGCACGCCCTGCCCTGCCCCGCGTCGCGCTGCTCGCGCACGCCCTGTCCTGCATCGCGCTGCCCGCGCACGCCCTGCCCTGCCCGCATCGCGCTGCCCCGTGCACGCCCTTCCCTGCATCGCGCCGCCTCGCACACGCCCTGCCCTGCCCGCGTCGCGCTGCCCCGCGCACGCCCTGCCCTGCGTCGCGCTGCCCGCGCACGCCCTGCCCTGCCCGTCGCGTCGCCCTAGGACCCGCGCGACGCCCTGCCCTACCCATCGCGTCGCCCTAGGACCCGCGCGACGCCCTGCCCTGCCCGTCGCGTCGCCCTAGGACCCGCGCGACGCCCTGCCCTGCCCGTCGCGTCGCCCTAGGACCCGCGCGACGCCCTGCCCTGCCCGTCGCGTCGCCCTAGGGCCCGCGCGCCGCCCCTGCCAGCCCGTCGCATCGCCCTAGGGCCCGCGCGCCACCCTTGCTACTCGCGAGCCGCCCCTGCCGGCCAAAGCGCTGCCCTTTCGTGTCAACGCACCACCCTCCTCTGGCTGCGCGCCGCCCTTCCGTGATCGTGTACCGCACGCTCTACCCTAGGGCCTACTCGCCGTTCTGCCCTCACTGAGTGCTGCCTTGCTGGTCGCACACCTTCTTACTTGGCCCGCTATGACTTCTCTTCGTGGTAGCGGTGGGAGTGGTGGCGGCGGTGGTGGCAGCAGTGGGAGTGGTGACAGCGGCTGTAGTGGTAGTCGCGGTGGAGCTGTTCAGTGCGGAGTTTCTGGCGGTGGCCAGATGCAGCTGCAACGGCGTCCGCCCGAGACCCTTACGCGCCAGCAGCTTCGTGAGTGGTACGCCAGGTGGTGTCGCAGCGGCGGTCGCAGTGGCAGTCGCGGTGGAGCTGTTCAGTGCGGAGTTTCTGGCGGTGGCCAGATGCAGCTGCAGCAGCGTCCGCGCGAGACCCTTACGCGTCAGCAGTTTCGTGAGTGGTACGCTCAGAGTGGGGGGTCTAGGAGTACTGCCCGTTGCTCGGACAGTTGGTCACACACGGGCTCGCTGCTTTGCCTGTCTGAGTGACGCCTGGCATGCAGTGTTTGGCGACGAGGCTGAGCTCCCCCCCTGGCTAGAGCTGCTGCGCAACAAGGTGGATATCTTTGCTCTAGACTATGACACTATCCTTACTGCCATGTATGCTCTGACTGGTAGTACTGAGGGTGACTGTTACCTGTGTGTGCCGCCCGACCCTGGTATAGAGGCTGCTGCTCTAGGTGCTACTAAGCCTGCTTTCTCTAGTACTGCGCCTACTGAGGCCTTGCACACCTTCACGCTTGACTCAGGTGCTTCCTGCTGTTTCTTTCGCAACAGTATCACAGTCAGACCACTCCCTGCACATGTTGCAGTCTATCTGGCTGACCCCTCAGGGGGCCCAGTCCTTGCACGTTCCTCCACTGTTCTTCCCTGTCCCGCGGTTCTGTCTGGCTCACTGACAGGCCTTCACCTCCCCTTGTTCTCTACGAACTTGGTGAGTAACGCCGTCCTTTAGGATGTTTGGGTTGATATCTTTACCCATGGAGGACATCGTGTGGCGATCTGCATGTTTGCACGGACGGGCCGCCACCTGGCCACGTTTACCCGTCGGCCTAGGTCAAGCCTGTACACACTGACTACTGAGCCTCCCCAGGTAGCTGTATCTGGTTAGGTGTCCGCGTCAGGTCAGGTAGCAGCCCCCTACTTGTGTCGTGACCTCTCGCTCCAGACTCTCCTCTGGCACCACCGCCTTGGTCACCCCTCCTTGCCACGCCTCCGTGGCATGCACTCCCGCTTCCTTGTCTCTTGCCTTTCCAGGTCTCTGCCCCCCCTCCCGCGCTCGCCTGCCCCGCCCTGCCTTCCTTGCGTCGAGGGGCGGTAGCGCGCCGCTCCTCACTCCTCCTCGTTTCCCCCGACAGAGGCTCCCCTGAAGAGTCTCCACATGGACGTTTAGGACCCAGTCCGCGTCCATGGACAGGGCCGCGAACGGTATTTTCTGCTGGTTGTTGACGACTACACGCGCTACACCACGGTCTTCCCCTTGCGCAGCAAGGGGGAGGTCCCTGATGTTTTGATCCCTTGGATCCGAGCTGTCCGTCTCCAGCTCCACACAGACCTTCCTGTCCTGCGTCTGCACTCTGACAGAGGTGGTGAGTTCTCTTGAGGTGGTGCGTCTTGTTCTCTGCCTTCGGAGTGTCACTGCTGGAGAGGGAGGCCTTGGAGCTGACAGTCCTAGAGGTGCTGGAGGTACTGCTGGTACTGGAGGTACTGGAGGAGCTGGAGCTGCTAGTTCTGGAGGTGCTCGTACTGGAGGTACTATAGTTGCCGGAGCTAGTATTAGTGGTGCTGGTGGTGCTGGCACCACTAGTCCTGGAGGTGCTCGTACTCGACGTTCTGAGGTACTCTCGCACCCCAGCAGCTGCGCGAGTGGTATGCTCAGCAGCTCCACCTTCGAAGTGTCGCTGCTGGAGAGGGAGGCCTTAGAGCTGACAGTCCTGGAGGTGCTGGAGGTACTGCTGGTACTGGAGGTACCGGAGGAGTTGGAGCTGCGAGTCCTGGAGGTGCTCGTTTTGGAGGTACTGGAGCTGCCGGAGCTGGTGGTGCTGTCGGTACTGGTGGTGCTGGTGGTGATGGCACCACTAGTCCTGGAGATGCTCGTACTGGACGTTCTGGAAGTTCTCTCTCGCTGCAGCAGCTACGCGAGTGGTACGCTCAATGATGCCGCCTTCAGAGTGGCGCTGTTGGGGCTGGAGGCACTGTGGCAGGAGACGCTGGTGCTGGAGCTGGAGGCGCTAGGGCTGGTGGCCTTGGAGCTGGAGCCGCTGGAGTTGGAAACGCTGGTGCTGGAGATGCCGAAAAAGCTTGAGCTGTTAGTCCTGGAGGTGCTCGTACTGGAGGTACTGGAGCTGCCGGAGCTGGTGGTATTGCAGACACTGGAGTTGGAGGCGCTGGAGCTGGAGGCACTGGAGCTGGAGGTGCTGGAGCTGGAGGCACTAGAGCTGGAGGCACTGGAGCTGGTGACTTGGGAGCTGTAGGTGCTAGAGCCGGAGGCACAGGAGCTGGAGGTGCTGGAGCTAGAGGTTCTTGAGCCGCTGGAGGCCCTGGAGCTGCTGGTACTAGTACTGGAGGTACTGGTGTTGGAGGAGCTGGTGCTGGTGGTACTGCACAGCCGCGACTGTTCTTGAAGTCCACAGGGCACTTACGTCGACGCAGTCCCCCCTCCTTGGACGAAAATAGTCGTCGGCATGTGGATTTTCAAGGTGAAGCGGCCGCCGGGTTCTTCGCCTGTCTTCAAGGCTCATTACGTTGCACGAGGCTTCAGTCAGCGACAGGGAGTTGACTTCTTCCATACCTTCTCCCCTACCCCAAAGATGACCACTCTTTGGGTGCTGCTGCACGTTGCTGCTCAGCGTAACTACGAGCTTCACTCTCTTGACTTCAACACAGCTTTCTTACAGAGCAGCCTGCACGAGGAGATCTAGCTGCACCGTCTACCTGGTTTTACTATGTCGTTTCATGCAGGAACCAAGTGGAGCCTCCAACGGCCAGTCTACGGTCTCCGCCAGACGCCTCGTGAGTGGCACGACACACTAAGGACGACACTTGTGGCACTTCGGTTTGCTCCTTCGTCTGCAGACCCGTCGCTGCTTCTTGGCACCGACACTTCGCTGCCGCCGTTCTACATCCTCGTGTACGTCGGCGACTTGGTCTTTGCTACTGCTCACACTGAGGCACTTGCCATTGTGAAGTCGGAGATGCAGAAGAGACACATGTGCACAGACCTGGGTGAGCTGCGCAGCTATCTTGGCTTGCAGATTACCCGGGACAGAGCACGCCGCACCATCACCCTGTCCGAGTCACACATGGTGCAACAAAAAAAGGCTTAAGAAAAAAAAAGTTTAGACATCCGCATTATTCTCAAATCAATTTCATAAATATGCGTCGCTCCACCTTTTGCAATTGACATCAATGCTTTATTACCATCAGGTGAAAAATGGGGGGCAAAAGACATACCTCGGACATTACCAACTACACTATGTCTGCCACATTCCAAATTAAGCATATGGATCATTGGGATTTTTCTTGGTATGTAAGATAAGTAAAGAATCTTATATGAGTTAGGAGAAAGGCACGGAGTTAACACTAAGTTTTTGACATCAATTAAATATTGATGATTTGCGCCATCATAATCCGTAATTGCAATTCTTTTAACTCTCGTTAAATAATTTCCAGTTTCTGACACATTAACAACCTTGGTATCAAAGTAACTCTTATCACCTGTAACTTTCTCCAAATTTTTTTCAGAAATTTTATGCGCTACTCGGCGCCACAAATTCACTGGTACCTCAAATTCTTCTCCAAGCATCTATTTCTTTAATACAATATCCCATAATATAAACCTACTTTTATCTTACTAGAAGAAAGTTTTGTAACATGACCATTCACAAGGTCAAAAGTTTTTTTTTTGTTCCATAAAGTTTTTTGTTTTGTTTCAGAAGTTTTTTTTAGCGCTTTTTTTTTTCTTTTGGTGTTTTTTTTTGTAGTTTCGGCTTCACTTGGTCCTCGCCACAGTCCACTCCTCTGGCTACCGGTCACTCGCTCTCAGCTCCACCTTCGGACGAGTCCGTAGAGCCGAGTGGCCCGTATCCAGAGCTTGTGGGCCGCCTCATGTACCTGATGACCTGCACTAGACCTGACATTGCGTACACTTTTAGCATCCTGGCACGCTACGTTGCGCCCGGGAGACACCGACGAGAGCACTGGGAGGCTGCTAAGAGGGTGTTACGCTACTTGTGCAGTACATCGGGCATGGGACGCATGCTTGGAGGACAGAGTCGAGTTGTTAGAAGCTTTTTGGGTTGACGACCTGGCTACGCAGCGGTCGTCACAGGGTTACACGTTCAGCCTTGGCTCCGGCTCTATTTCTTGGCGGTCTACCCGCTCATCTTCTGTTCTCAGCTCCAATTGTGAGGCTGAGATCTACGCGGGAGCCATGGCTGCACAGGAGTTACGCTGGCTTACCTACCTGCTGACTGACTTGGGAGAGCGGCCTCGCACTCCTCCAGTTCTGTACGTAGACAACAAGGCTGCTAT